ATCTTCCAATGTTCTGTGGAAGGCTAGCTACATGGTTTAATTGGGTGCCCCCCCTGCCCCCCAACGCCACCCAGCAATGCAGGTGCATTAATAGCTGGAATTTGTCAAGCACTTTCCCAAAACAAGTGTCGGCAAGAAGAATGCAGGTAGAAGGATTTGGGGGGGGGGGGCATATCAGCCTCCCATCTCCTCTGTATTGCTCTTGCCAGAGCTTATCTCAGGAAACTGCTTGGTGCCAGAGATAAGTTGTGTGCAGGGGCGGACTGACCATTTGGAAACTCAGGCACTGCCCGAGGGCCCAGGGTCAGTAGGGGGCCCCGTGAGATGCCCCTGGTACCTTTTTCACAGGCTTTTGTGAGTTTGGGCAAGGACACAGGGGCCCAATGATCCCCTATTGCCCGGGGGCCCCATGAGTTGTCAGTCCGCCCCTGGTTGTGCGGCTATCAATACAGCCATCTCCTTTCTAGCTGCATTGTGGTATGGCTGGGGAGGGGGTATCCTGTCCACCCACATAGCTAGCCACAGATAGGAGGAAGATGGGACAAAGTAAGGTAAGGAAAAAATGCTCTACTAAAATGAAAAATATTGGCTTTAACTTCAGTTCTGATTGGTTTCATCTGAGGCTTGGGTCTTTAGATAAGACTGATCCCAGAATGCAGGGGTGCCAAACTGGTGGCCCTCCAGCTGTTGGGAAGCTACAAGTCCCATCATGCCTCTGCCTTTGGGAGTCATGCTTGTAACTGTCAATCTTGCAATGCCTCATGGGACTTGTAGTTTGGCAACAACTGGAGTGCCGCCAGTTTGACACCTGTGCCATAATGGATGCCCTAATTCTTGCACACTTGATTGAGGTGGTTCATATGTTGTAGTTTTAACCAATAGCCGCCTGGCCAATAGCCGTTTGGCGGCCGGGAAAAGGCTGTAGATTTCCGAGTGGGCGCCATACGGCGTCGGCCTGTACATGCGCAGTTTTTGCGCTTGCAGAGCTGCGCAGTGTCGCGATCTGTCACCGGCCGTGTACCTCGGACACGGCCGATGACAGATCTGAGTACCGGCCCCCGTTGCCGGTACCATGTGACCTACTGTGACCAATCACAGCAGGTCACATGACAGTTGTATACAATGGATGGCTTCATTCATGCCATCCATTGTATACTAGTGTCTAGCTGTGAATGGTCACAGCAATCACATGCACATGTCATGTGATTAGCTGTGGCCAAATCACAGCTAAGCACAAAAAAAAAAAAAAAAAAAAAACCCTGAATGAATCGATGTCATTCAGGTGAATGCTTGCTTATAGCAAAGTAATTCTTTGCTATAATCAAATTGTGTAAAAAAAAAAAAAATACTGATCACTTCCCCAAAGTAGTACAATGTTACTATGATAACATTGTACTACTTTGGTCATAGTGAAATATTAAAAAAACATAAAAAAAAAATGCAATAAAAAATTAAAAATAATAAAAAAATTTAAATAAAATAAAAAAAATTTTATTTTTTTTTCAAACTGTTACCAGTCAGTGTCCCTGATCACCGCCATGCCAGTTATATGATGACGCTGTACTGCACTGGTGACAATATGTAAAAAAAAAATAGTGAAAATTTTTAAAATTTTTAAAATTTTTTAAATTTCCGGAAAAAAAAATACAACTTCAAAAAAACTCGCCATGTCTCTTATGAAGTACGTCGGACTGTCTACTTTGCAAAAAGGGGTCATTTGGGGGATATCTGTACTGTTCTGACATTCTTGGACCTCAAGAAATTAGATTGGCTGTCAGTACTTCAGGATTGATCAATATTCAGATCTATACCATAGTTTGTGAACTCTATAACTTTCCTACAAACTAAAAAATACATCCTAATTTGGGTTATTTTCACCAAAGACATGTAGCAGAATACATCTCGGCCTAAATTTATGAAGAACAATTATTTATTTGCAAACTTTTATAACATAAACAAAGAAAAACGTGTTTTTTTTCTAAGATTTTGTTCTTTTTTTGTTAATTTAGCAAAAAATAAAAACCCCAGCGGTGATTAAATACCACCAAAAGAAAGCTCTAGTTGTGTGAAGAAAATGATAAAATTTTAGTTTGGGTACAGTGTTGTATGACCGTGCAATTGTCATTCAAAATGTGAGAGCGCTGAAACCTGAAAAATGGGAAGGGGGTAAAAGTGCCCGGTATGGAAATGGTTAAAATGGATAATTGAAAAAAGCACTTGATAGTGTTTTCATGAGCTAGAGGGAGGCAGGGGGTGGTGGTGCATAACCTCTACGTATGTCTTGTCTGTTGTTGTTATTATTATTTTAATACAGGATTTTATATATTTGTTTCTAAAGCTGTATTTCTATGGAGATTTGGGAAGTGATGCGTTTGGCAACTTACCTACTAAATACTATACCTTAGCTATTTTGTTCCCAACCATTAAAATTGCATTCATTTTTATTTTGATTTCCCTACACATCTGCAACCTCATAAATAGTGTTACTTATAATATGGGTTGTACAATATATGACAATGCTGCGTTGGCAGTACCTCTTCTTCAATTGCACTATCCTTCCTCTCTTGAATGATACACATTCTTCAACTACATACAGTATACCGCAGTCTTTACTATCCTCCTCTCTTTTTCTTAAATAGCACAAATCATTCCCTCCTCTCTTTTCCACCTTCTCTGCTCTCTTATTATATACGTAATCTCATTATCTCTTCTGTTTTTTTATAGTATCTCTTTTTGTAATTTTTTTTTCTAAATCCAGACCTTTTTGCTAATATTATTTTCCAAAAATCATTGGTTGGAACCAGGGGCGGACTGACCATTTGGAAACTTGGGCACTGCCTGAGGGCCCGGGCTCAGTAGGGGGCCCCATGAGATGCCCCTGGTACCTTTTTCATAGGCTTTTTTGAGTTTGGGCAAGGACACAGGGGCCCCATGATCCCCTATTGCCCGGGGGCCCTATCAGTTGTCAGTCCGCCCCTGGGTGGAACGCCTAAATGAATTTGTTTGTGATGAGAATTGTGCAATATTGGAAGTAGAATGGAAGTATTGAGAAATGGATACTTGGTAAGGTTACGAAAAAAAAAAAATAGAAAGGCAAGTGGCAGAGGAAAGAAAAAGAAAAATAGTAGAAGAAGGATTTGAGCTATTAAAGAAATAGAGAGGAGGACAATAAAGACTAGTATATATACTGGAAAAAGTTGTACCAGACAAGAAATAGAGAGGAAGGGTAGTGCAGATCGAAGAAGCGTGCCAAAGCTGCATATTAACCTCCCTGGCGGTCTATCTAATCAATATTTTTAAATGTCAAAGCGGTACATTGTTTTTCATGGAAATTTGTTGTTTTATATTGTAGGCCTGTAATTCTTAGGAATAATAACTCATTTAAATTGGTCCAAACAAGAGTCTAGTAAACATCCCGGGTATGATAAAGTTTGAAACATGAAATCATAAATTATAATAATCATAAATAATTATAAAAATAATAATATAATAATAATAAATTTAATTCAATAATATAATCAAACCAAAAACACTGAAATTTGAAATATAGCGCCAAGTTCACACATCACTGAGTTCAGTCACAAAATCGTTTTCAGTGTCTGATGAGGAATTTCCCCACAAATCATTATCACTCAATTCTGCAAGTGGTTCTAATTTACTATCGCTGTTCCCTGGCAGGGCCGAAGACAGGGGGTCATTGCTGGCAGGGCGGAAAATGGGCACAGCTCATTCACCCATCCCTGCACTGCACACAGCCTGGGCACAGGCAGCAGAGCTCCTCCTCCCTAAACAATGCATAACTGAGATCAATATAGTGTCAGCCAAGGACAATATAGTGTCAGGCTAGGGCAATAAAGTATCATATTAGGGTGGTATAGTGTCAATTTAGGGCAGCATAGTGGCAGGTTAGGGTAGTACTCAGCACCCCCCTACAGGGTCGGATCTAGCCTATCTGGTCTGGGGGTGCAGTAAAAAAGTCAGGGGGCACAATGCCAACACTGTGTGTGAGTCACTGATATTCTGTCACATAGTGTCATGACCTGGGAAACACTAATATGTATCAGGCTCACAAAGAACCTGTCCTCCTTATATCAGATGTCCCTATCAGAGTCCCTCTTTAAATCAGGTGTCCCCATCAGAGTACCCTTTTACATCAGGTATCCCCATCAGTGTACCCCCTTACATCAGGTGTCCCCATCAGTGTACCCCCTTACCAGGGGTGGACTGACAACTCATGGGGCCCCCGGGCAATAGGGGATAATGGGGCCCCTATGTCCTTGCCCAGACTCAAAAAAGCCTATGAAAACGGTACCAGGGGTATCTCATGGGGCCCCCTACTGACCCTGGGCCCTCGGGCAATGCCCGAGTTTCCAAATTGTCAGTCCGCCCCTGCCCCTTACATCAGTTGTCCCCATCAGAGTGCCCTCTTACATCAGGTGTCCCCATCAGAGTTCTCCCTTACATCAGATGTCCCCATCAGAATGCTCCCTTACATCAGGGGTCCCATCTGAGTCCCTATCAGAGTGACCCCTTACATCAGGTGTCCGATCAGATTCCCCATCAGAGTGCCCCTTACATTAGGTATCCCATCAGAGTCCCCATCAGAGTGTCCCCTTACATCAGCTGTCCCATCGGAGTACCACCTTACATCAGCTGTCCCCATCAGAGTACCCCCTTACATCAGCTGTCCCGTTCAGAGCACCACCTTACATCAGCTGTCCCCATCAGATTGCCCCTTACATCAGGTGTCCCCATCAGAGTGCTCCCTTACATCAGTTGTCCCCTTACATCAGGTGTCCCCATCAGAGTACCCCCTTACATCAGCTGTCCCCATCAGAGTACCACCTTACATCAGCTGTCCCCATCAGAGTACCCCTTACATCAGCTGTCCCCATCAGAGTACCCCCTTACATCAGCTGTCCCCATCGGAGTACCACCTTACATCAGCTGTCCCCATCAGAGTACCCCCTTACATCAGCTGTCCCGTTCAGAGCACCACCTTACATCAGCTGTCCCCATCAGATTGCCCCCTTACATCAGGTGTCCCCATCAGAGTGCTCCCTTACATCAGTTGTCCCGATCAGAGTGCCCCCTTACATCAGGTGTCCCCATCAGAGTACCCCCTTACATCAGCTGTCCCCATCAGAGTACCACCTTACATCAGCTGTCCCCATCAGAGTACCCCCTTACATCAGCTGTCCCCATCAGAGTACCCCCTTACATCAGCTGTCCCCATCAGAGTACCCCCTTACATCAGCTGTCCCCATCAGAGTACCACCTTACATCAGCTGTCCCCATCAGAGTACCCCCTTACATCAGCTGTCCCCATCAGAGTACCCCCTTACATCAGCTGTCCCCATCAGAGTGACCCCTTACATCAGGTGTCCGATCAGATTCCCCATCAGAGTGCCCCTTTCATTAGGTATCCCATCAGAGTCCCCATCAGAGTGTCCCCTTACATCAGGTGTCCCCATCAGAGTACCCCCTAACATCAGCTGTCCCCATCAGAGTACCACCTTACATCAGCTGTCCCCATCAGAGTACCCCCTTACATCAGCTGTCCCGTTCAGAGTACCACCTTACATCAGCTGTCCCCATCAGAGTACCCCCTTACATCAGATTCCCCATCAGATTGCCCCCTTACATCAGGTGTCCCCATCAGAGTGCTCCCTTACATCAGTTCTCCCCATCAGAGTGCCCCCTTACATCAGGTGTCCCCATCAGAGTACCCCCCATCAGCTGTCCCCATCAGAGTACCACCTTACATCAGCTGTCCTCATCAGAGTACCCCCTTACATCAGCTGTCCCCATCAGAGTACCCCCTTACATCAGCTGTCCCATCAGAGTACCACCTTACATCAGCTGTCCCCATCAGAGTGCCCCTTTACATCAGGTGTCCCTATCAGAGTGCTCCCCTTATATGGATTGTACCCATCAGTGTGCCTCCTTACATCAACTGGCTGCATCAGACTGGCTCATGGATTAGTAGATGCATTTTCAGAGATCTGGGGGGGCACAACTAAAACCTGGGTGGTCACAGCCCATCCCAGCATCCCCCTAGATCCGTCCCTGCCCTCCTAGATCTTGCCATGATACAAATAGAAAAAAAAATGTGGTTCTGCCCAAATGCACTCCCTTAATCATAAAAACACCCTAAGTGCCTATGATAATGGATGGAAATAAAAGCTACATTTTAGTATGTAGTGAGTGTATTCAATTTTCAAAGGTTTGTCTTTATATTCTGTTTATTTACATTGTAAGCCCTGGTGCTGTGCAGATAACTATTCTCATGTAGGAGCTATAACGAGGTCTTTGATCATAGATAGCTGTATGAGCTAACAGTTACTGTGCTGTGAAAAAATATGCTTCCTGATTTTTTTTGAATATTTGTCACACTTAAATGATTCAGATCATCAAACAAAAAAAGTTATAAAAGTTTACAAAACGTCAGTATAGATACTGGAATTTTTTTTTTTTACTAGTAATGGCGGCGATCAGCAACTTATAACGGGACTGCAGGACTGTGGTGGGCATTCTGACACTGAGGGGAACTGACTTGGTGTCACTGACATCCCCAGTGACACCAATACAGTGAACAGTGCTAATGAAAAATACTGACACTGTACTAATGGTACTGGGCAGGAAGGGGTTAACATGTGGGGCGATCAAAGGGTTAACTGTGTGCTGTTTCACTATGGGGGCTGTGTGTGTACTTTCCACTGTAAGCACACTGCTTTGTACGGCTCTGCTATGCAGTGTGCAGGAGCTGACAGGGGAGAGATCTGTGTTGTTTATACACAGGTCTCTCCCCCATCGGAGATACTCGGAGATATCCGGGTGCCGGCGAGTAATCACCGACCGGGACCCGGTGATTGACAGCTGAGGCCGCGAATGGCGGCGCGGGTAGAGGCGTGTGCAGGCCCCATACCCGCAACTACAAAAATCACATATATATGTGTGATTTTGAACACCCGTGCTGCCCTGTAGCAGTATTTCTGCAATAGGGCAGAGCGGAAGCGGTTAAATGTTGATTTCATTTGTAAGGGAAATAAGCTGTCCAAACCTGCCTGGCCCTGTTTGAGAAAGTAATCCCCCCTTTTGCTAAAGCATGAATGAACCACATTTTTTGGAAAGCTGAGTTAAATTTCACTTGCCATACCCAGGCCTTGTTACTGCCAGACCTGTTGAATCAAGAAATCAAGAAAAGTATTTGACATGTATCAGTAAAGATTGTAAGCTCCAAGGAGCAGGGCCCTCAAATCCCTCTTGTATTGAACTGTATTGTTGCTGCATTGTCTCCCGTTATATTGTAATGCGCTGAGCAAACTGTTGGGCGCTATATAAATCCTGTATAATAATAATAAAAATCCTGTATAATTAAAATAGTAAAAAGAGTTACAAAGCCATTTCTAAGGCTTTGGGACTCCAGCGAACTATGGTGAGATCCATTAGCTTCAAATGGAGAAAACTTGGAACAGTGGTAAACCTTCCCAGGAGTGGTTGGCCTACCAAAATTACTCCAAGAGCACAATGACGACTCACCTTGGAGGTCATAAAAGAACTCAGAAAAATATAAAGGCCTCACTTGCCTCAGGTAAGGTCAGTGTTAATGATTCAACAATAAGATAGAGACTGGACAAAAATGGCATCCATGGGAAAGTTCCAAGACAAAAGCCACTGCTGACCAACAAGAAGACAAAGGCTCATCTCACAATTGCCAAAAGAAAAATCTTGATTATTCCCAAGACTTTTGGGCAAATATTCTGTGAACTGATGAGAGAATCTTGTTACATCTGTCATAAAACGAACACAGCATTTCATAAAAAGAGCATCATACCAACAGTCACACATGGTGGTGGAGGTAGTATGATGGTGTGGAGCTGCTTTGCAGCTTCAGGACCTGGACAACTTGGCATAATTGATGGAACCATGAATTCTGCGCTCTACCAGAAAATCCTGTAGGGGAATGTCCAGCCATCAGTTGATGACCTCAAGTTCAAGCGCACTTGAGTTATGCAGAAGGACAATGAGCCGAAACACACCAGCAAGTCCACCCCTGAATGGCTCAAAAAAAAATTAAGGTTTTGGAGAGGCCTAGTCAAAGTCCTGACATATCCAACTGAGATGCTATGGCATGACCTTAAACAGACAGTTCGAAACCCTTCCAATGTTTCCAATTCTGCAAAGAAGAGTGGGCCAAAATTCCTCCACAGCGATGTGAAAGACTCATTGCCAGTTATCGAAAAAGCTTGATTGCAGTAGATGCCGCCAAGGATGGTACAATCAGTTATTAGGTTTTGGGGGCAATTACTTTTTCACATGGGGCCAGGCAGGTTTTATCTCTTAATAAAATAAATCATCATTTAAAAAATGCATTTTGTATTTACTCGGCTTATCTTTATGTAATATGAAAGTTTGATGATCTGAATCATTTAAGTGTGACAAATATGCAAACAAAATACAAAATCGGAAGGCAGCATAATACTTTTTCACAGCACTGTATGTCCTGGGGAACTGTGAAGAAAAACAATCTGAGTGGTTGCAAGGTTTTAATGGAAAGCTTCAGTGGTTGGCGATAAACATTGGCTTTAATTATCACCCGCTGATGACTATCACTATCATTAGGGACATACTGTATTTCATTTTTAGCTTGGATGTGAAAACGGTTATATTGTGTTCTTTACTAGAAACTATTTGGAAAGATTTTTTTTTGTATAAATCTTGCTGGGCACACCCTTTAGAAGTCACTAGGGTTCTATTTCTTGCACTGGAACCTTACAGCGACACCTCTCTACCAGTAGAGTTTCTTCCAAACATAACCCTGGACCAAAAAGTCACTCTGGAGCACAATGACTCAATCTATTCCTCAAGGTATTACAATATTTCAGGAAAACAGAGCAGAAGGACAATTTATGCTAAACACGGATTTGGCAGTGTCACCAAGGACCAAATAAAAATGATGAATACTATTAATGGATAAAAAAATCCACACTATTTTATTTCTCCATTTGGGCACAGAAGTGGTGGCTCCTGCCAAATATAAATCTCCAAACGGTTTGCAGTGAATAAAAAAAGTCTAATTAATGTATTGACGAAATTTAGGAAATGTGCTCAACAGAACTGCTTCCATTTTAAGTTATTAAAACTAAGACCAAATTATGAGCCATCACCTAATCCTGCTGGTGGTTCTCCAGGACTTCACTCTGGAAGACCTCCACCTGGCAACCACTGTCCGTTCCAGCAAGGAAGCCCTACCCGTGCCTCTTTTAATTGAAACCAGTATGAGGCTGTGGATGAAAAGTGTGGTTTTAATGTCCTGTGGCTTCCAACCGAGTTTTAGAAAATTCATGTCCAGAAATAGCAAAGCAGCAAATGTGCTACAGAAAAACATTACACAGAGAGGCAGTGGTAGATTCAGTAACTATAATATTTTGTCTGTTTGATAAAATTGATTAAACTGTTACTCAACATGGCTCAGTCAACTTCTTAAAGGATAAGTCCTGCTAGTACCTTTATTTCCTCCAAAGTCTATGGTTGTCCATAGTCTTAGGCTGTCCTCATGTGCCATGCATTTCCCACATTAAGACATTAACTTGCTTTGGTGTCCGTTTAGGACACAGAGAATAGCTGTGATTCTGAGGATCGCAGCTATTCTCTGGTCATTCACAGTTTATGACACTCAGGAGATCAGCGGAGAACATGTTCAGCCCTTCACTGGAGATCTGTGTTCTCCCTCCAGATTCTCCAGCCCAGAGCTGGAGAATCGGAGGGACCGCAAACTAAGCAGCGATAATTTACCTCTTCTTAGTAAACTGATCTTTTACTGTAATCTCGCGAGATTATAGTAAAATCAGCCGTTTTCCAGCATTTGTAGACCGTTCTCCAGCGTTTGTAGACCATTCTCCCTTCGTTCGGAGAACTGCTTCATAAAAGGCATTCACAGGAGAACTATGTTCTCCGAGAATGCCAGAGAACTGAGCAGCGATCTATTACCGCTGGTTCATAAATGGACACCTTTATGCAGAACATTGTTTGTTCCTCACTTAGGTCTCCTCTGGAATGCAGAGGGTGAACAATCAATCAAGAGCACCATAGGTCTTTCTGAACCAGACAATAATGGTTTAGGCTGCAATGGAAGCAATATTTAACTGCCTGTTTTTCGAATGATTTAGCCCTTCCTGACCAGGCCATTTTTTTGCTATTCAGCACTGTGCTACTTTTACTGACAATTGCGTGGCCATGCAACACTGTACAGTAATGAAATTTATATCACTTTTTTTCACACAAATAGAGCTTTCTTTTGGTGGTATGTGATTATCCATGGGGCTTTTTTTTTATTTTGCAGTATAAACGAAAAAGACCAAACATTTAAAAAAAAAACCTATATTTTTTACATTTTGCTGTAAAACATATCGTATAAAAAATATAAAAAAAAGTATTCTTTGAAAAAAAAAAGTCCCAAAAAGTGTAAATATGTTTGCATGAAAATTAAAGCATCTACAAACAATGATATACATATATACTAGAATTGTTCTTTATTTTTTTATACTAGTAACAGCGTTGATCAGCGACTTATAGTGGGACTGTGAAAGTACATTCTGACACTAACTGACACTAGGTGGGAACTGACTGTCACTGACTGTCATCTCCAGTGATACTAATGCAGTTGTCAACACTGCCACTGTATCAATAACACTGGGCAGGAAGGGGTT